TGTGCCTTTTGCAACTGGACTTGCCTATCCCCCATCAGCCTTTGTAGCCATCAGCACTCTTGTAGCAAGTGTGGGTAGAGCCCTTCCCATATCTTCTTTCGCAAAGCCTAGCCATGATGATGGTATCTTATCATGTAAGTTAAATTGTGTAGTGATGCTTGTTCCCAAATTGCACTTGCAAAGTTTGGGTTTGCAAATTAAATACTTCTGCAGATTTTAAAAACTATACCATAATATATGTTTAAAAAATAAAGAACTATGAGTAATCTGTAGATTTCCTTTACTGAAACACACACTCCTGGAACTTGCCTTTGCAAGGTGTGATTTCCGACACACACAATCATAAAATCATAGAACAGTTTCACCTGGAAGAGGCCTAGAAGATCATCGAGTCCAGCCGTTGTCCCAGCCCTATCAACCTACTAAACAGTTCCCCCCAACGCAGCATCCACTCATCTCTTAAACACTTCCAGTGATAGTGACTCAGCCACCTCCCTGGGCAGCCCGTTCCAATGGCTGACAACCCTTTAAGTATAGAAATTTTTCCTAATGATTTACAGAGAAAAATGATGTCTATTACATGCGCGTAAGCAGGCTAAGATTCTTTAAACCCTCTCTTGCTTATATGTTTCCTGTTTTCAGTTTAACTCTTTTCTATATTGCTGGGGTTTTTTTATTAAGCTGAAGGTGAGGGTGTCAAGAAAACTAAGTGGTTATTTCAGACTCTCAGGGGAAATAGTTATGTCTTTTGAAGAGTAAAATTTTTGAGTGTACCAAACAGACTTGATTTCCAACTCCCTATTTCAAAAGTGACTTTTGACTTCTAAGTTCCACTGCCTTGCTGTGATGCACGTGCTAATTTCCTAAGTTAGTTTCTTGAAAATTTTCCTGTCTGTGTGTTTTTTTTGCAATCTTGAATAAATAAAGGTTTGGATTCTTGGGGAATAAAACAACAGTGCTTTAGCAATTTGCTCCGTGCATACCTTCTTTTCTTCCTGCTCCTGGCCTTAAGGTTTTGTGCTGTGGAGCTGAGCCGCAAGCAAGTGCTGAGCTGGGGCGCGCTATGAGCACTCAAGCCGCTGTCTGCGGGGACAATGGCTGCAGTGTCACCAGGGCCTACACAGGGGCTGTTGATGGCCTTTCTGTGGAATTGCAGTGGTGTGTGGCATCTACTGAAATCTGTAGGATAAGCAAGTGCAGAAATTCCTTTAAGCCGCCGAGCGTCTGAAAATGCCATGTTGTGGCCTCACTGAAAAATGCCACAAATAGCAGAACAGTCCTGAAGGAGTTGGCTCAATCCAGGAGACTGCATGCCCTTCGTATTCAAATTTTAACTGTGGAAGGAAGTTCGTGTCTTCTCCATCTTCGAATATGCGCTGTGAACCGTCAGCTCTAAAACTCTATCTCTAAAACCGCCATCGCCAGTACAACAAACCTTTTCCCTAAAACCTGATGTACATGAGTAGGGCCTGGGCCTGCTTTCCATTACCAGCAGTATTGCCCTTGTTCATCTTCCCAGTTCCAAGTAAAAGAAGAACAGATAAAACTTCAGGATGAATTACCATTTGCTTAAGCTGTAGTAATACTGAGCTACAGCAAGCAGCTTTATTTAGGAGTCTGTTAAAATGATGATCAGTTTTGGATTACTAAGTGACAGACTACAATACTGACACTAACCACAAATAAAAATATAACCTTCATTAGGTTTTTCTTTAATGACTTCCACAGATATTTGTTTTTAGGAAGAATAAAGTTCTTTACAACATTTTTGAGTATCTAATGGATCTACTGGATACTGAAAGAGTTCATAAATGTTCAGATAGAAGGCAACCTTCTTATCTTTTGCCCCTCAAATCCTCTGCAGTATAGACAGCTAGCTATGTTGTTTGTGTTCTGCTAATACTCGTGTGCTACTGCTGTTGGTCTGCTCAACGACTTTTAGTGGTCTACTTTCTTTTTTTGTCTCTTGACAATGATAATGTGCTTTGTTTTTCTTGGGAGCTCATGTGATTCACAGAAGTTATTGAGATGTATGCCAAAATGCTAGAAATGCAGAGGTTAACGTAAATTAACACTTTAGGACATATATTATTAATTTTTAGAAGATAATAATATAGAAGAAAAAGTTGACTCACATGAAGAATTATTCTGTTATTTCGAAGATCTAGAAAAAACTAAGAAGTATTTAGTGACACATAATAGTGCAAAATATTTAAATCAGACGTACTGAATTTTTCTTCTGCATTCAAGTATTTTTTTTATGAACTGAAGAAAATTGAAATGTCTTTAATTTTGTTAGTGATATATGTAGTTTTCAAAATGCAGTGGTGTATCATGAGAAAGCTACAGCCTTATTTTATTGTTATTTTAAATTTTTCTGACTAATTCCACTGAACAGGCACCTGTAATTAAGGATTTTACTGATTTACTGATAGTCCTTTTTTTTTTTCAGAAAAGAGCAAAAGGCCAAGTGCTGTTTGACAAAGTGTGTGAGCATCTCAGTTTACTGGAAAAGGACTATTTTGGGCTGTTGTTTTATGAGAATTCAGAACAGAAGGTAAGCCTGTGTGAGGGTTTTGCTTGTCTATTTTCTGCATTGCTACTGACTTCAGTAGTTTAGTGAGGTACATTGAATTCAATGTATACCATTACAGTCATTTGAGTAAACTGTTGCAAAATGGAAGTCCTCGCCTGCTGTAAAATTGCCTAAAAAAGCATTGATTTGATATTTAGAGTAGTTGAATATTTAAAGTACTCGTATTTTTGAGAAACCTAATTGAGTAATTGCTAGTATTTGTAGTAAAACAGTATGCTTTCCCTCTAAGAGAAGACAAGAAATTTTAACTAATATCTTTCAAACAGTTACCTCCAGAGGTTCCTTTCAGCCTCAGTGAGTCCTTGAACTCCAGATCCATTGACTGTGGAGGTGCTACTGTAGCAACACTCATAAACGAACTATTTATATATATTGAGAATTGTCTGGATAATTGGGTCCCTGTTGATGTTTAGGTTGTTTATATGCGCACACTAAGTCTAGCACTCTTCAAAAGAGGAGTAGACCACTTGTCACCTGAATTATGGACAGCAGCAGACTCTTATTTAAAAAATTCTGAGGAAATCTGATCCAATGTGTTGTGAAGACAAAAAACATAGTTGCTGGATTTTGTCTTCTTCGTACAAGTTCTTAGTGTTATTTGGAGATACTTTGACGATACTTCCTTAACAGATTTGCATTTCCCACCTCCTACTTCCTGTTGGAGGATTAACCTTAATTTATGGTGTACTGGAGGAACTTAAGATTTCTAATGCCAGCGAGTAACACTGAAGGAGGGATTTAATTTAGCTATTTCCTGACTGGATAACCCCTATGCTCTAGCTTGTAACCCAAGTGCCATTATGTGCGCGGTACTATGCCTCTCGTGCAGCTCTAAGTTGCAGTTACCAGGTGAGGGGGAATACTCAGGTTTTCAGAGAATTTGGAAACATAAGCTTTGGCATGAACTAGTCAACTGGATAAGTGCTTAGAGTCTTTTGTGGGTTGGAGAGTCTGTACATTTATGGATACTTTGTATAGGCTTGCTTATTTTTATTGCTATTGTCACTCAAGTTACCTAATTCAACGCTACCACTTTAGTTACACCAGCAGGTTTGGAAGTTCTTACACCAGGTAGGGTATAAGCATATCCTGCTAATGTGAAGGGTTGCTACTGCAGTGTCTTCATACTGCAAAATTGCTGGTTGTGTGCTGACAAAGTTCCCTTTTCCCAGCTGTCTGTCTTTCATGCTGGTAAGTGTGAAATTATATAGCTACACAAAATGAGTTCAGGAAGACTGTAGGATTTTTTTAATACATGGATGAAAACAGTTTAAATTGTTTTCAATATAGTAAGTATTTGTGGTATGTTTTTAATGAATGTTCTGTCTTAGAACTTTTAAGTGTCTCAATTTCTTTCCTTCTTTTGAAAAAAAAAGAAAAAATAAGCATCTAACATTTTATGTTTTGATTTAATTAATAGATGATAATGTGAGGGGCTTATCAGTTGTTTTCAGCAATAACTGCCAAAGAAAGCTTGGGGACTTGGGTCTTTTACTAGTCTTAGGGCCTTCTCTTTTTGTTCACCTCTGTAGTAAGCTTGAGTTCTTTTTCGTATCAGTATGAGTCCTTCCTGATGCATTTTTTTTTTCTCCTGTTACGACTGTTGCTTCTTCAGATTAAAATGCCACAAATCTTTGACCTCTAGGCCAGTCAGTACTAAATACTGAATAACGTGTTTTTCTCCTACTTGTGCACACATTACAGCCACCCATTTATGACCCAGCTGTTGAACTTGACGGCAGCTGTGGGGTATGGAAGCTGAATGCCAGGCACTCTCTTGAATTAGAGCTGCTCCCTGATGCACCGTCGGGTACCATTGGAGGAGGAGTCCCATTAACTTTTCTCTATGGGTGTTCTGTGCAGCTGGGAGAGATGTTATGTCTTCAAATCAGACTGATTTTTGTTAGCTTTAATACGCATGTAAGAACTATTTAGGTCAAATTACTCATTAATGATTTCTTTAGTTGTTTTGCAGATCTAAAGTTTAGCTAGTGATTTCATTGCATTGCACCCTCAAAAGTTCATGAATGCTCCATTCACACTGTAATTTGTCTGCAGAAACATTAGAAAGCTTCTGCTCTTATGTTCTGGGCACCAGCTGGAAATGCTGCTTTTCTGGATTTGTACAAAATACTTTTGTACTGGTAGAGAACATTTTGTTGTACTTTGACAGTTGATTACTTTGTTTCATCTCTAACCTTACCCTTTACAAATTAAACAAATAGATTTCTGCTTACTGGAGCAAAGTAGCATGTATACACTTTGTCTTTCACTTGAAAGACAGACTTGTCTTATCTGCATTAAGAGGTCTGTTTCAGGGTAGATTTCTTTCAGTAGTGTTTGTGCACAACAAAAGGCACAGACGAAAAAATACCCACCCTTGTAATTATGCATATAAATGGAATATAAGCATCTAATTTTATTTGACAGAATAGTAATGTAAGTCGGTGGCAAAGTCTACCAATAAGCTTACTACAGGTTCGGGAAATCAGAAAATGAACTGTATAACTTCTATAAACAAAGAATCATTCTCATCTTGTAGCATATTCTGTATCGTATGTTCTTTTCTCCTACAGTGATAAAAGCCCTGAAAATAGCATATACTCAGGAATCCTAGTTTTCTGCTGTAGTTATACCGTGCTATATATTCTATACTTACTTTTATTATGCTTTATGTAAAATTTAAGAGTTTAAGCTACTTCTGCTTATCTTTGTAATTGGGAGAATGTGTCTGTATGTCACTTCAGAATGGAATTCATGCCAAAACTGAAAACATAGAACGGTAACTGTAGCTGAAGTGAGTGCCTGCTAGAATAATTTGAAGACTTCTGTTGTCTTACAAGGCCTTTCCATATCAAGGCTCTTCCAACAGATAGCATTTTCCTGACTTAAGCAGAAAAAATGGTATACAGATTTTTTTAAGGAGTGCTTTAAATTTTTTCCTTTGTAACAATGTTATGGACTGTGCATCTCTGAAACAATTGTAGTAGCTATGAAATGTAGATGTCAAAGGCTTCTTAAAGCAAGAAATGTGCAATTATTATTTTTCTTTAATTAAGTCTATAAAATTATTAAAAGATTTTATGCACATAATTTGTAAACAGTATTTGTCTAATATGTGCATGCTGTATTTGTGATGAAATCGAGAGGAAACATTGTGGTTTGGGTCACAGAAACCACATCTTTTATCAGCAGAGGTGATCTACATTGAGGTTTTGCAGTAGTGCAAAAACGTATAGCTCCACGTTCTCCTAATCCATACAGACCCATAATACTGTAGCCTAGAATTTTTTATCTCCTTGAAATAAATTTGATTTTGTGCAGAAAAGCCAGTAATAAAGACTGAGGGATATGGTACTGGAAAACAATTGTTGCATTTGGCAACTGGTACGATAGACTGAGTGGTGATTCCTGTTATACCCAGTTGTCAGCTCCTTGGCTAAGTTAGGCTACAAACATTGGGAAACATAAGCCTTTAGCAACATTTGTGCTGCCACTAAGGTGCGCTCTCAATTTGAAGCTGCTAGTAGGTGTAGTGGTTTGTGGAAATGCAAATGTTGTCCTCGACCTTGCAACTCAGTTGCTAATTCTTCCCTATTTTGCACATCTCTATCTTTGAAATGTGCCGAGTCCTGCTAGTAGGCAGGTGATGTGCATGTAAGATTTTTCCACGTATATGCTTGTATATGTGCATCTGGCTGTGGGAAATAAAGGTTCAAACACTGTATAAAGTAAATTTTCAGTAACTGCAGTTAAAAGGCTTATGTTTCTAGTCTCAATCTATTTTCTTGACATCTATGGGTAAAATTAGTGAACAGGATTGTCTGAGTTACTGATGAGTATACTGACTTCTTAGTCTTAGTTCCCAAAGTAATATTTTTGGATGATCAGTCACAAAAATGTCTTGTTGCACATACCAAGAGTAAGTGAAATGCTATGAGCTGTTTAATAGGTTGCACAGATTATAGAAAAATATTTTGGAATTCAGAGAACACATTTAATAGTGAGGCATCTAAATATATAAAACTGACTTCACTTGCGTTACCTAAAATAGAACTAAATATCTAGATTTGAACCTTGCCAGCATATCAATGTCAACATAATACATATTCACACAGAACTTTGCTTTGGGAGAGGCCAGAAAAAAAGCATGACGTTCGATTACATTTTTCCAAGCACCTTTGAATGTTATCACAACTAAAATTTATACAGCTTAATAGAAATGGTGGGAATAATAAGTCTCTGGAGTTCAAGAGAAATATCATCTTAAGTAACTCAACTTGAGTGTGAAAGCACAGACAAGTAGAGATTACATAGCCATTCCTGAAAGTCTGCTTGTCAGTAAAAGGAACATGACAGAAAATTGCTTTTGTCAAATATCGTTTGCTAGACCACCTCCACTGTAAGACTATACACTTTTTAAAATTACAGGGTATAAATAGTCTAAAGCAATGGGACAACGATGAAGGTAGTGACATTACACAGTTTGATTTATGTGCATGGGCAGGGAGACTTGCTAGCAAATCACAAGTTAGAATTCTCTGGGTTGTTTTAACATATAACAGCTGTCTGAACAATACAAACTGTAACTGCACTGTATGAAATTATTTCACCATCTTCAGCGTGAAGTGATTTTAAATGATTGTGGGTTTTGGTTTTTGTTTTTGTTTTTCTTTTTCCAGATCTGGCTAGATTCTTTGAAGGAGATTAAGAGACAAATTCGAAGTAAGTACTTCTGTATTCAGATGTTAAACTCCTTTTATTTCCTCGCAGAAAAAGCTTAGTAGCCTAGATGTTGACTAAATTGTATACTTAGAGCATTAAAATAATTTATATCTGATAATTCCTCGGAACAAAAAACAAAGCCTCTGTTTCTGTCCACTCTCCAAGAAGGAGAGAAAGAATCGTTTAGCCTTGTGCTGTAGAAGTTAATCAGCATATTTACTCCTGCCCCCAAAATTTGCTGTGTTGTATGTGACTTTTGCTTCCTGAAACAGTAGTTGTTTCTCAACTTTGCGCTATGTTGGGTTATGGGATGGGGAGTGTCATAGAATCATAGAATGATTTGTGTTGGAAGGGACCTCAAACGTCATATAGTTCCATCCTCCCTGCCATGCCAGGGACACTAGATCCACTAGACCAGGTTGCTCAAGGATCCATCCAGCCTGGTCTTGAACACCTCCAGGGCTGGAGCATCCACAACCTCCCTCGACAACCTGTTCCAGTGCCTTGCTACCCTCAGGGTAAAAAAATTCTTCCTTCTATCTATTCTAAACCTACGCTCTTTTTTTCTTCCACCCATTACCCCTCATCCTTTCACTACAGGCCCTAGTCCCTCCTCAGCCTTCTTGTAGGCCCCCTTCAGGTACTGGAAGGCAGCAGCCTTCCAGTCTTCCCAGAGCCGTCTCTTTTCCAGGCTGAACAAGCCTAACTCTCTCAGCTTGTCCTCATAGGAGAGGTGTTCCAGCCCTCTGACCATCTTTGTGACCCTCCTCTGGACTTGCTCCAACAGCTCCATGTCTTTCCTGTGTTGGGGGTTCCAGAGCTGGACGCAGTATTCCAGGTGGGGTCTCACAAGGGCAGAGTAGAGGGGCAGAATCACCTCTCTTGACCTGCTGGTCACACATGTCTTGATATATCCTAGGATGAGGTTGGCTTTCTGGGCCACAGGCACACACTATTGGCTCATGTTGATCTTACCCACCACTTTGCAAAGATGATCACAGTTGTTGCTATAGGACTTACTAAGTTCAAAGACTCACCAGAAGAATATGAAACTATAAAATAATTACATGTATCTTACAGAAAATGTATCTTCTCCAATATTGATCAGTCCAGCATTGACTTTTTTGATACGTCCATCATTCCCAGAATGGAAATGGCATAGAGAACATATCCTGGAAGTTTTTGCTACAATGCTTTTCAGACTGAATCCATGTGAAAAGTCTTTCTACTGTCTATATTCAATACAGGAGTAATGTATTTTACTCTGTTTGCATAAAAATGTGTCAAAACTTTTCAGTAGCTAGGTAGCTTTTGTAGAAGATAGGGGAGTGAATTGAGAGTAAATTTAGGAGATACTCTTCCTGAGTCACAAAATATGTAGCGACTAAGAAGTGCTAAACAGCCCTTGCCCTTACTGAAATTCTTCTCATTGCTTTACTCATTTGTGTACAATACAGGGTTTTTTTACTGTTGTTTTCTTTCTGATGGAAGTCTTCTTCTGACAGTGCCTGACAGGAAATGTAAGTGGGGAGATGTTAATAATACTAAGATTTCTATGTTTACACTTTCAACACAACAAAGATTTAATTTTAGAAACTGACTTTGAATTTTTTAGGGAATGTGATCCAGTGGAAGCACTTATAACTAAGAATAGCAGTGTGTTATTTATAAATAGTTTATTTACTATTATTAGCTTTGTGTTTTAAGGCAACATTCAATTTTTTCCATAAATCATAGTGGTGTTAATTGTACTTTCTTTACACTTTCCCCAGTTGGTGAAATTTCTTACTAGGAAGGAGTGGCTTATATTTTCAGTAAAGAAATGAAAGTTACAGAAGCTTCCTTGGAAACTACTTTTTTTGATCTAACACACAATATATAAGCAAACTAGACATTAATATGATGAATGTACTCATGCAAGAAGAGGTCATCTTTTCAATTAAGGAAAAGTTGCTGGTATTGTAATTCTTACTCTGCAGGTCTTCAGTAAAAACCTATTAGCTGTCCAAATATATGGGGGTAAAGGCTGTTTTGTTTGGGTTTAATATTTGACAAAAGATTGAGGACATTGATATTTCTTGTTGCTGTCTTCTGTAGTGATCTGTGTGCTGTATAGCCTACAAGTAAGTGTTATGAATCTGATTCTATAAGAACTGACCTGAATTTTTTTTTGATGCACCACACAACAGTTTTTAGTAATGCAAAAAATATTTTAAGGGGATGTGATTTTTCATACAGCATAAAGACTGTACGTTTTTTATTGGAGATGAATCCAGTGTCTTGAATTAGGCATCATGACTGGAATTTTTTCTCTGGTCTGTAGTAATTCAGAGTTAATAGGCTTAGTGTATGAGGCAAGCAACCAAGTAAGAACAGCATTTTAAGGATTTTAAGATGAAATTTACTTGCACCAACTTGCAGGTAATCAGCATACTGTCACTTGTGTTCCTCATAATCAGTGTATTAAAGTTTCCAGTCACTGGAACGTACCACAAAGATAATTATTCCCCCCAGCTACATGAGCATCAAGCAATAAGGCTTTTGTTTTTTCAGGCTTAGTTCTAAATATATTTGTCTTTGAATCGAGAATGGAAACCTTATGTATTTATACATTCAATTATAATCAATTTAAGGTATTTCTAAAACCATTTGAACATTCCAAACAAAGCAGCTTTTTCTCTGGTGCAGCACAAACTGAAGCACTAACATGCTACATAAGTGTGTCTGGACAAATATATTGATCTGCAGGCAAAGGTGAAATTGGGAAGTGGAGCTCAGCACATCAGTTTGCAACTTAATATTTATAACAATGTCCGTCTCTTGACATGTAAGCAATACCGGTATGCTGCACACTGAGCGGAGTGTCCCACCCATGTGACGGGAGAAGAAGAGATAAGAAACTCGTAGCCTCCCCCAAGTCACGTTCTGCACTGCGTGCTCTCTTGCAAAGTCAGCATCCTCAGGCCTTCTGTGGGATCTCTCATTTGGTCTTGTAGGCCCTTAGCTGGGCACTGGTTTTGGATCTCCGCGCTCACTGATGTTAATTGTGATCCACAAATTACTGGCTCTGTTCTCAGGGCTACATAGGTGACAGAAAGCTTGTTTGCTTTCAGCCAGCCTGATCTCTTCAGGAAAATAAATCCTTTTTTTTATCTCACAGACTTGAGTATCCACTGCCATGTGCTAAAACCTTTAATTAATTCAATCAGGGACGGGTAGGGTAAATGCATTTCTGTCACTATCTGCTTGAAAATTGCTGCATCTAAAGTGGATTCAGGCTGTTGCAAAATTGAGAACTTCAGCTTGAATATTGTGATGGTACAGGGAGTAGTCGAATCCCAGAGTTCACAGGGAGTGTGGTGGTTCACACTTCAATAAAATTTAATTTGAGAATTTATCTATATGAAATGTAGATACAGTTAGTATAGAACATGGGATATTCCACTCATTTTAACTGTAGATATTTTCATTATTCTGTTCTCAGTGTAATAGGATTGAATAAGTAAACTACATAAAGCTGGTTTCATCCCAGTGTTTATTGCAACTGAAGATCAATCTTTTGTCTGCAATGTAAATGTAGACAGTTATGGTTAAAGATTAGAGATGTGAATGTATAAATCATCTGTTTTGGGAAGCCTCATTGTTTGCTTTTATTGTTTGTGTAATTGAAGTGTATGAAACTGAGGTCTAAACCTTTCTCTTCACACGTATTTTGAAACTGTTTTTGGGATACATTCTAGTTTTAGTGTGGATGTATAATACATTCTATTCCAAATGAAAACTAGATTTCTGTGCTGTGTAGAATAGTTTAAATCAAAGGTAATGTTATGTCAATTAAATACGTTTCCAGTCTGTAGCACAGTTAGTCTTTTTATTGCAAAAGTTGCAAAAATACTTGTGTGCTGGTGTATTCTGCAACACAGCTTCAACAGCTGTTCACGAAAGAGGAGGATATAGAATAATGATATGATTAAACAAGTATATCTTTAAATTACACAGTACACCAAATGGTGATAAATTCATAAACACAATTTCTTTGAGGATTTAGAATTTTGCAGCACAGTGTTCTAAAATGTTTAAGAAACAAAAATTTGCATTTAAAGTGCTAAGGGAAGTTAAAAATAATTAAGGAAAGGGTTTGCATTTTAACTGCACAGCTCTGGCACATATTAATGCTAACAAAATGAATGGTTATCTCCAGGCATCAAAACAGGGGGAACACTTTATGCAGGGTCACTTTGTATCCATCTATTTCATGGAAATAACTATGTATCTGTAGAAGCTGTAGCTAATTTTGAACTAAGCTAATTACACTAGAGTCTAGCTTATAGTTGGTGAAGAAAACTAGGTACCTGTGCCAAGGCAAGAGTTGCTCTGCAGAAGTGTTTCTGTGTGTCTACTAATTATAAGGAGTGATTTTGCAGTTTGGAAAGGTCTTGAATTTGTGAGTTGAATCTCGTCAGTCAAACCAGTATTGTCTGTACTCTGCTTTTTATGCATATTTGAAAACGTGAACTGGATATAGATTTTCCTTATTTCTTTGATTTTCTTGACAGTAAGAAAAAATATAGAAGTAATTTTCTTAATTTTATGGGGTATTTCTACATCTGCCTGTGGGTAATATTTTTGTCATGGTCACACAGCACCCTAAAAATTTGAGCTGAGATGCAAGAGAAATCTTAAGTAAAAGCCAGAAAAAACATTTATTGAAAAAAACCCCTCACTAATTTCCCAGTTTAAATGGAATGAATAATGTTAATTTCATGCTGCTAGCTGGTTGACTATATTGCATTCTTTTTCTCTAAGAATGTGCCTAAAGTTGCCGCAGAAGCATTTTTGAGGTAACAAGCTAGCTAGAAAAAAAATTCGACATTTCTACAGCCCATATTAGTAAACATCTAAACAGAGAGCCTTAGCAGGGACAGAATGCTAAATATCGTTTTAAATATCAGTTGTTTTTTTTTTTTATGAAGTACAAATTCAAAGCACCAGTAATAGTGTGCATTATTGTGTGAAGACAATTACGTTTATATACTTCGGTTATGCAGGCTATAAATAGTATCCTGTAGTGCGAAGTGTAGATATAGACTGTGCACATTGTAATATGCTTGCTAGTCTATATTCAGTGGATAAATGTGCATTCAGTAATCAGACAAAAGATAAGGTCACCAGCTACCCAGAAATTACTTAGTACAAAGTCATCTGCAACATTTTTTTGATGGATTAACTACGGAATTAGTGTGAGTAGGCATCTGAAATTTTTCACATAGTCTATACATTCAGAGGATTTATGCTCTTTCTAGCTTTTTATAAAGAATATAGAAATTTTTTTTTGTTTAGTTCAAACAGTGTCTAGATTTCGATGGCTACAGTGCTTTCTGAAAACTAACTGTAAAAATACTGACAAAAGCAAAAAATTCCAAAGCAGGAATTCGTGTGTGACTAGTTTAACTGCAGTTTTAGACCAGGAAAAGTAGCTGCCAAACAAGAAATTTTGCTTCAGTCCAGAAGAACTTGAAGATTGGTTTAGTACCTGTGTGGAAGGACACATCCTTTGCCCATCTGTTCCCATCCCACAGCCCTATTAACAGGACAACTTTCCCTGATCACAAAACATCTTCAAATGTTTTGGCCCAATTGCTCCTCTTCATCAGTTTGGATTACTCAGTATTGGCAGCTTTTCATTAAATGATGCTAATTCCCTGAGAAATAAATGATGGAAATGGACTAATCTGTTTCAGCTTTAATTCTATCTGTTATGCTGTATGTATTAATTGGTGTTGGACATTTTTGTCTTAATTCTGTGTTGCACTGAATTGCAGTAGATGGTGCAATGAGACGTATTTTACCCAATTCAGTACTACATGTACACTCAATAAATTAGGCTTTCTCATTTAAGGAGTCCTGCCTTACTTTGCAAGCAAAGTTATCATAATTGATAACTGGGACCGTTAAGAAATGCTAAAACCCTGAGCTCTCAAAAGGAAATATTATCTTAGCAGCCAGGTGGAGAACAAGGTTCACACTTAAGCAGAAGCTGATGTGCTCTGAAATAGTCATGTCTGAAAAACTGAAATAATCTTTGAAATGTTGAAAAACATTAGAAATTTTGAAACAAAGCACCTCTTCAACTTTAATTTTTTGTTGTTGTTAAAATACATATTTTAAAAAGCATGATTTATGTGCATGGGACAGAACTTACAAGTTGTTTACTGTCCAAACTTCATCATAAACAAGCTTTACAAAATTACTACCTTTTTTACCAAAGATTATTTTTACTGTGTCTTTCACCAAAATATTTGTATTAGAAGAGGAGTGAAAGACAAAAATGGCTACTTAATTGTTTTGATAATGTTTTGATTTCTTTTCTTATCATATTTTGATTTCTTACCTTTCTTTATCATTTTAGCAGATCTGTATTGTAAGGTTGCTTTCTTTATGTTTGGGAAGATATGATAAAGCTCAACTGTATTTGATTTCAAGCAGCATGCAAACCCAAAATATTAAATTCTTTTCCTATACGCCTATTTGGGGATTTTTTTATTACATATGTCTGTCTACCTTGTAGTTAATAAAATCTGTTTGAATTAGGAAAGTTCTACATTTTGACAAGTGATTACTACTTTCCAAGGAACATATTGCACATAAGGTGACGATACTGTAGAATAACATTCTGAGAATGTATTTTAATTATTGATGAGTGATTTCAGCTTTCCAGTCTTAAAAAATTATCTAAAACTAGAGCTATAACTAAAGACAACATTTTATGCTTTGCCAAATTATTAATCTAGTTTTAAGAGTGCTTTTGCTTAAAAAATGCATGTGATGTTAACAGTTGTAACACATGAGAATTTAAGCTTAAAATATCATTGCTATTATAGTAGCTAAAGGTGTTGTTTCTCAAAAATATTTTAAAAGGAGGAATGCCTAATATTTTAGGGAGTGCACTAGCTGACCTGTAAGGTCCCTTCAAACTGTTCCATCATTTTTTGTCTTCCATGCATTCTGTATGAATATGAATAATTTACTTAATAACTCTCTGTTGTACACAGTGCAGACCCCATTTTGACATCCTATGTTCATAGTTATGGTGTGGTCTCTCAAACTAACAGTTTAAACAGGAGGAGACTGTTAGCTTTGGAGGGGTTGGAAATTGTAGAATCATAGAATGGCCTAGGCTGGAAGGGACCTTAGAGATCATTCAATCCAACCTTGCTGTCATGGGCAGGGACGCCTCTCAACTAGATCAGGCAACACTTGTGGACCGAACGTGGACTGAACCCGCAATCTTGGTAATAAACACAGATTCAGTGCAAGAGACTTTCACAGAATCACAGAACGTTAGGGGTTGGAAGGGACTTTGAAGCATCATCTAGTCCAACCCCCTGCCAGAGCAGGATCCCCTAGGGCAGCCACACAGGAACGTGTCCAGGCGGGTTTTGAAAGTCTCCAGAAAAGGAGACTCCGCAACCTCTCTGGGCAGCCTGTGCCAGTGCTCTGTCTCCCTCACAGTAAAGAAGTTTCTCCTAATGTTGAGGTGGAACTTCTATGTTCTGACTTAAACCCATTATTTCTTCTGGGCACCACTGAGAAGAGATTGTCCCCTTCCTCTTGACACCCAGCCCTCAGATATTTGTATACATTAATAAGGTCCCCTCTCAGCCTTCTCTTTTCAAGGCTGAACAGCCCCAGTTCTCTCAGTCTCTCTTCAGAGGAGAGATGTTCAAGTCCCTTAATCACCCTTGTAGCTCTGTGCTGGACTCTCTCCAGTAGGTCCCTGTCTCTCTTGAACTGGGGAGCCCAAAACTGGACACAGTATTCCAGGTGTGGTCTCACAGGGAAGAGTAGAGGGGGAGGAGAACCTCCCTAGCCCTGCCGGACACACTTTTCTTAATGCACCCCAGGATCCCATTGGCCCTCTTGGCCACAAGGGCACACTGCTGTCCCATGGACAACTTACTATTCACCAGTGTCTTTGAACAGCAAATATGTTAAAAGTGTTTATATATTATGGTAGTTTTCAAATTAAAAACATCTGACATTTATATAACTTACTGTAAAACATTATTTAAAAATAATTTTTAACATGCTAATCTTTCAGTGTATGTGCATATGACTTGCTACCTGGTCAGAAAACAATCTATGCTTCTTACTAATACACTGTAAAAAGAGGAAGAAAGCTTTGTTCAAGATTTCAGTGATCTAAGATTTATATGACTGCCTAACATTTTTCAGTAAGGTTCTTTCTTTGCTTGCTTCAACTTATTTGAGGTTAACACCTGGACATTTCCCATGTTCAGGTTTACCTTGGATATTCACCTTTAATGTGAAATTTTATCCTCCTGATCCTTCACAGTTGACTGAAGACATCACCAGGTATGCTACTTCCTAATTTTGAACTTAAAAATTACTGTTAGTGTAATTTGAAGGCCGTGTAAAATTTCTTTTTTAGTTTCTGGATGCCATAACAGGTTTGGCTATTACTGTAGATCACTATAGATGCTCTTACTTCAACTGCTTTTTGGAACAAGATTGAAAAGGCAAAGTGAGAACTTCAGGAAGAAGCCTGAGGAAGAAGAATTTAATGATAAATGGGGATATGATTTAGGTGGGAGGTAAGATGCAAATGATCATATCTGAAAGAAGTCAGTGGTTTATTGTTGGGCTGCTACTTCATTATATAGCAAATGAGGGTGTGGGAGTATTCGTATTAAGAGAGAAGCTCAAGGGATCCAAGGTACTTCAGCAATAATCTAGGCTAGGTTGGTGAAAACATAGTTTTATACATATGCATTAAATAAAATAATAAAGCATAATGTAACCCGAAAATAATTCTCTTCCAAAGTTTTTGGGTAGAAAATACATGAAACACAGTGGATACTAGGTACCTAAAAAGTAGCACTGCAAGACTAATATAACCAGTGGGCAGAGTGCAGGGAATTGATGCTTATATTTTCAGAAGTTATGGAAAACCTAAACACTTCGTTCTAGTTTCGAGTAAGCTGACTGTGCCACGTCAGGATATATGTTACTACAGGTTGCGTTGGGTCAGACTTCTGCATAAAGATAGCTACGTAAGAGTGTAGCTCATATATTTGTACAAATAGCCTAAGACATGTAGTACACAGTGTATTTAAAAGATACTGTGTTGAAAATTTTAAGCAAGTTGGTTGGCTTTTCAATTGTATGTTCAACTTATAAAAGCATTTTTATGGCTGTAGCTTAAAGCTCAATTCCTTAAAATTTAAGCTTCACTTCTGATTTTTTTTTCTACTAAAAATCTGTGTTAAGACAGGATTGTTGACTTGTTAAACTTGGTAGAAAACTGTGTGCAGTACCTGAAATGTTAAATTCTATGCATACATGGTTTAAGGAAGGCAATTACAGGTTCACTACTAAATGGGATTTCTTTTGTGTATTACATAACGTGATTAGCCCATGAACTGGAAGAGAGATATTTAGAACTGTAAAACCAAAGGGAAATGACAAAGGAATTGCATGGGTTTTTATTTGTAAACTTTAGATACCTGCAGGCTACAATGTGAAATGAAGGAGTTCTAAGTCAGTTTTCACTACAACATAGATATTTTCATTCATTTATATTGGAAGTCAGAATTTTACCTGCTCTTTGTTGCATTTATGAAAGTAATGCCGACTCTTAAAAGTGGAAGTGAAATTTACTGTGCGGCACAAATATTCAGATATTATTTTATTGACTTATTTTAAAATATGTTTATATGATTACATACATCTTGATCGACTCTGCAGTACCTCTCATTAACATGCAATTGGTAACACTTTCTCTGTTCTTGTTTTCACTTGTTTGGTTTTTCGGGTTTTTTTCCCCTTTGTCTTGCAGATATTTCTTGTGCCTACAGCTTCGTCAGGATATTGCTTCTGGACGACTGCCGTGTTCGTTTGTGACTCACGCCCTCCTTGGTTCATACACCCTGCAGGCTGAGCTGGGTGATCATGACCCTGAGAAACACAGCAGTGACTATATCAGTGAATTCCAATTTGCGCCCAATCAAACACCAGAAATGGAAGAAAAAGTAGCTGAGCTACACAAAACACACAGGTGTGTCAAAAACAATAGGAGTAAATGAAGTTATCATGCTTTTTCACATGTATGTCAATTCTCTGAAGAGTGTATGTAAAGGTGCTAAGCTGTATTTATTGTTACTTCAGAAATCTTTTGCTATGTAACTAGAACCTCTTATTTTGTGTGTTTAAAAATTTCCATTTGGAAATAGTAGCTTCACTAAGATCTCAGAAGAAAACTTTTGAATAAAATATTTTTATCTGAGCATATGAATTAGTTTAAGTAACATACAGCTAGAATATTTTGAAAGAGTGAAAGTAGAAATTTCTACTAAAGAAATATAATATGCTGTGAAAAAAACGTTTTTCCTTTAGGGCAAAATTGCTATTGATACCTTAAAAACAGATTTTTCTATGTGTCTTAATTCCAGGATTCCTCTCAGTTTTGATTCTCAGTTCTTTTGTCAATAAACTCAAGGCTTATTCAATGGTTTTAGGGGCTTGACTCCAGCACAGGCGGATTCCCAGTTCCTAGAAAATGCTAAGAGACTCTCCATGTATGGAGTGGATTTGCATCATGCCAAGGTATTGGGGATTGGTTTGGTTTTGTTTTAGGATACACATGCTTAGTATTAAAGAAACTAGTATATATAGATTGTTTTAAAAAGTTCATGCCCTCAATTCTTAGGTATAAGCCTTCTATCTCTTGGGCACAATGATTACTCAGTTTACAGCTCTAACACCCTTAGAATTTATTTTAAAGCTAAGTTTGTTTAATGCATAGATGTATGTTTAGCTTAGAAGTAGTATTTTTTTCATAAGAGTGGCTAAATACATTTTAAACATCAGATATTTTTATGCCAAGGAGACATGGGGCCATAAAATAAAGCCTAAAAGAGCACATAAGTGTTTTTGTAATAACCTGAGAGTTAAAAACAAAGATAGGGGGAGGTCTTGGGTGGGGGGGTGTTTTGGTCTTTTTTCCATTCCTCTGGGTAGATTGAATCAAATTGGCATTTCTAGTGGGATTTTTTTACTTAATAACTCAACAAACAAACCAACTAACCAACCCTCTCCCACTCCCTTGCGTAATCCAGTCTCAAATCATTAGGAAAACTAATGCACTTTAAGCGTATAAGTCTTACAATTAAAAAAGAAAAACAAGGCTTTTAAGTACTGGAGAGTTGTTGTTTAACTCTGTTTCATATGGAAACAATGTGCATGTGTTTTGGCAATTTTCCGTAGACTTTTTCCTGTGTTCTGTTAGAAGCACTTGAAAGAAAAAAAAACTTATTCATATACATTAGCTATGTCTGTAATATTTATTCATTTATTAATAAAAGTGCAATGTGGCAGTTCACTTGGTCTGTATTGTTTTAAGGAACAAAACGGGTTTTTGAGCTTTGTTTTGCCATAGTGAAGTAACTGCAAGCATTAGAACTGCAGTTTGCCAGGACACACTTGTGGCTATTAGTTATGTCAGAAGTAACTTTTTAATCAGCATTTTATGTAGTTGATTTGTTGTTGGGGAGGACATGAGATTCTGCTGTATTGTTTAGTGGTATGGGGTGTCAAAGCCTTATCAGCAAGTGATTAGTTTTGTAGCCTTTAAAACTTGAATTGAATGCTGTCAGTGGAACAGGAAGGCCCAGAAACCCAGCCCATCAGCATTCTGAAATCGTTGACATTTTCAGCCAGCTATACCTTACTTCATATATCTTTACTGAAATAGTAGATGACTGTAAAAGATCACAATGATCACCAATTGTTCAGACTTTCACTCACTGTTTTAAGTAGGAAAGGCCTATTTTTAATTTTTCTTCCTTTATTATTTGTTGAAATTATTAGTAGCACATGCACCGTACCTTTCCTTTGCCTGTAAGTTGTTGATTTACTTCCTATTGCCAGAATATTGAAGAATTTCCCGGAACTGTGGCATATACAACGGCATATGACTGCCAAAGCCATTACTTAAAGTCCAAAGCCTTTCCTATAAAATTAATATACTTGTCTATTTCTGTTTTAAGAATCTCATTGTCAAGGTCTTTTAGGTTTGAATATGAAACATGTCCCAGTTGCATTATTCCCTCAAGGTATGGCAGTAATAATTGCTTGTTTGGAATGTTATTAAACTGATTTTTATGAAATTGTCTCATACATGATAGGATTCTGAAGGTGTGGATATCATGCTGGGTATATGCGCTAACGGACTGCTCATTTACAAAGACAGACTCCGGATCAACCGCTTTGCTTGGCCAAAAATTCTGAAGATTTCCTTTAATCAAAGTAATTTCTATATCAAAGTCAGGCCAGCAGAAGTAAGTAGCCCTTTTCTATCTTATTTCTTTTGTGAGATCATTTCTATCCAGCAACAAGAAAACATCCTCATTTTTTCTCCCAGATGTCCTCACAGGCTTATGTTATATTCAAGCAGAAATTAAGAGCATTTTACTTTCCTCTTAAGATACTACTGATTGCATTAAACACTTGTCTTGATTAGTAAATGCAAACCAAGAAGAAAACCTATTTTCTTTTGTTAATAGATGCCATCTTGTAATTTTACTTTTTTTTTTAACAGGGAAAGACAGTTACTGTCTATGTAACTGACTGTCTATACAAACTTGCAGTCCTGGGAGAGAGCCAGCTTCTCTTCCTCTTTGGGTATAATTGTTCACTAAATGTCAGCGCATCTAGTTTATGGCTGTAACTAAAGGCTTGAGTTGTCCTGTAGGACATTGTAACTCTTTCTGTTTGCTGCTGTGGAAATAGTGAATTCAGCTTTCTTTTCAGATACCATTATAAGCTTGTAGGAGTTGCTGAAGGAGGGGGGTGTCTTGAACACATTCTAACTGGAAATTTAACAAAAAAACCAAAATGTCAAACACTGTAATGCGCTTTTAGATTATACTCCAAAATGTTTAAGGTAGCTTTTACTGTGTGCATAAATAAAACAAAAGAGAAGTCTAAATACCAATAGAACAATACTAACATTGTCATTTTATAAGTTTTGGAACACAAGATTTATTGTTCATGCAGTCACTGATGGTTCAGAGATGTAATATTTTTGCTAAGAAACTGCTATACAGTGAAACGTGTCAGGTAAGCTTACCACTGCAGTACAGATTTCAGACTTAACTAAATCCAAGGAAAGCATGCAGCACAACCTGAAGTATGATTAACGTCATGCAGTTTAAAAATAAATGCATTGGGAAGGTAGTCAGAAAATCAGCAAGGAACACTGAAGTATTACTGGATTTCTCAAAAAAGTAATTTATACAGATAGAAAGTGATAATTTGATTATTACCCATCATGACTAGCCCGACAAGTATAATTTTATTAAAAGGCCGGAAATTCTGATTATTTGGGTTTGGAGTTTTTTTAATCTTATGAAGTCTTGTGGCAGGAGAATTACAGCTTCTTACAGTGATGGAACTATCTGAACTCTGCCTGCTACTTAATAGCCAGCTTAAGAAATTGCTTAATTTATTTGTGTATTCTTTCCAGCTGGAAGAGTTTGAGAGCACTATTGGGTTCAAACTGCCAAACCGTCGGGCTGCTAAAAGGTTATGGAAGGTTTGTGTGGAGCACCATACTTTCTTCAGGTAAACAATAATTCTCTGCTTCCTCCACTTTGGCAGGTATGGTCATATCTTTCTTTAAAATGATGTGAAGAAAGTAGAGAAGATTGCCCTCCTTCTTTACCCCATATTTCTCAGTCCAGTAGCAACTCCTAGACAGAATCATAGAATGGTGTGAGTTGGAAGGGACCTTAAAGATTATCTAGTTCCAACCCTCCTGCCATGGGCAGCAGGGACACCTCCCACTACACCAGGTTACTCAAAGCCTCCTCTGTCCTGGTGTTAAACACTTCCAGGGATGAGACATTCACAACTTCTCTGGGCAACCTGTTCCAATGTCTCATCACCCTCAAAGAATTTCTTCCTTATATCTAATCTAATCTACCCTCTTACAGTTTGAAACTGTTACCCCTTGTCCTATCACTACAGTCTCTATAAAGAGTCCCTCTCCATCTTTCCTGTAGGCCTCTTTTAAGTTGTAGAAGGCCACTATAAGGTCTCCCCAGAGCCTTCTCTACTCCAGGATGAATAACAACTCTGTCAGCCTGTCCTCAGAGGGGAGATGCTCCAGTCCCTTGATTGTCTTCATCACCCTCCTCTGGACCCTCACCAACAGCTCCATGTCCTCCTTGTATTGGGGGCTCCAGAGCTGGATGCAGAACTCCAGGTGGGGTCTCACAAGAGCAGAGCAGAGGGGCAGAATCACCTCCCTTGACCTGCTGTCCATGCTTCTTTTGATGCAGCCCAGGATATGGTTGGCTTCTTGGGCTGCCAGTGCACATTGCTGGCTTGTGTTGAGAATCTCATCAGCCAGCACCACCGAGTCCTTCACTGCAGGGCTGCTCACAATCCACTCATTGACCGGCCTGTATTTCTGCTTGAGGTTGCCCTGACCCAGGTGCAGGACCTTGTACTTGGCCTTGTTGAACTTCATGCAGTTTGCACAGGCCCACCTCTCAAGCCTGCCAAGGTCGTTCTGGATGGCATCCCTTCCCTCCAGCATGTTGATCACACCACACAGCTCGGTGTCATTAGCTGAGGGTGGACTCGATCCCACTGTCCGTGTCACCGATGACAGTGTTAAACAGCATTGGTCCCAGTGCTGACCCCTGAGGAATGTCATGTGTCTCCATTTGGACATCAAGCCGTTGATCGCAGTTCTTTGAGAGTGGCCATTTAGCCAATTCCTTATCCATGCTAACATTCATTGACCCCAAATTGCCAATTCTGAAAGTCTCTAGTACAATTAACTACTTTCTTTAAACTTTCAGAGTGCTAACAGGTTGCGACTAAACTAGTGATCATATGTAAGACTTCCCGGGAGACTGACTTTTCAGAGTGACCATCTTAGAAGTTCACTGTGCACCTTCACAAGAAGCTCTCAGGGGTTGGCAGTAATCCTTATTGACTTCACTTATCAGAATATACTGCTGAGTGTAAATGCTTACAATGGAATTTCTCCTTGTTTATAAACTGGGCTGAGTCCACAGTTAATTCTTTTAAAAAAAGACTCAGATTAAATCTAATAATCTGTAACTTTTCTACATTTTTTTTCTTCACCAACTGATAAACATAAAATTCTGAATTGGTCATTGCAACTATGGTCTGTAATCAGCACTTTAAGAATAGACCACAGAGTTGGTTTTATTTCCTCCATTGAAAAGGAGTTTGAAAAGTCTTCATTTGATTTTTTTAATAGCACAAACTCTATAAGGGAATGTACGTGCCAATGCAGTCCAGGAGTCACAGATTTATGTGTTAAATCTAATGCATTGAGTAGGCATTAATTTTGAGTTTCTTGCTTCAAACGAACACAGTAACTAGGGCATGTAAAAGCTGAGTTTTGTCCATCAGTAGCCTGTTTTCTGTTTTAAAAAAGCAATTGCAATTTAAGGTAGATGTACGGTGAACTGAAGTTGAACAAGTGACTTTAAAGTACATAATTAAATACCTAATATAAAGCTGTTTTAACTGACTTCCCTCTTTACTTTTTAGACTCTTATCACCAGAACAGCCTCCAAAAGCAAAGTTTCTAACCTTGGGTTCCAAGTTTCGCTACACTGGACGTACGCTAGCACAGACGCAACAGGCTAGCAACCTCATAGACAGATCAGCTCCATACTTTGAACGCACTTCAAGCAAGCGTGTTTCCAAAAGCCTTGATGGAGGTAAGAAAATTGACTTATTTTTTCAGTGTAATGATTACATAATGTGTTGTCACTCTGATGTGGCCAACATTCAAAAGTGTTGATGTTATGGATGGTCAGAATGTCACTTGACACATTCAGTTTCTGATTGGTGATGTAACTTTGGTTACTTGTCAGTTTTAGGTGACCTAAGCAGTAAGTTACATCACTTCCTAAATTGTATGGCACTGCTGTGAATATATGGAGGATTCTGTACTGGACAGGTAGCATCTGTGTTCATGACACATACCTGTTTGACAGAATCGGCATGCATGACAGTAACTGCACATTGTATGACAAGGGTGCACTGCTGTTCATATCAGTGCAGTAAGAACCGTAGGCTTTTTGCAAAGCCATAAAATCATTTTGCTAAGAAGTTTTAAAAACAAAGTGTTCCACCTTACCCCAATTAACCAAAATTATTTTGCTCTCTAATAGCTCCCCTGGGTATCTCAGACCAAAGTGTGCTAAGAGACCTCCCTGCCACTGGAGGGCAGGCTGCTGGTCAGGCCAAGTTAAAAGAAGATGACAGAGAAGATGAAAGCCCAGTCAAAACTCCACAATTAGAATTGACTCAGGATGGAAAGGTATGACTGACTTTCACACCACAATTATGTGTTCATGTGGTGTGTGTCCATGTGTGGTTATTTAGTGCCTGTCACTTCTGAGCATCATACAGAACATTATATTAAGGGAAAATAGTCAAGTGCTTTCTGTAGGTTTAACTCAATGTAAGGGCATGTAAGGAAAAGAGAATACAAACTCCTGAATCTATTGACCGAGGGTGTCTTTTATTGCTGTAAATTTAATCTGAATTCTCAGTGAGCTTTCATGAGTTCTTGAAAAAAAATGTTGCAAAGGGTAAATAATGTTTTATTAATTTCCTTTGTTTAGACTTAAAAATAATTGTTAGTATATTCAGTTGTATGCATTCTACAAAGTTGAGTGTATTATGACAGTTTTCAATTACTGTAGATAATAGTATTGTTTTAGTAGACATTGAAGAATTGTTTCATCCTTTAAAAACTTGTGTGTTGACTGAGGTGCGGATTTCTGTGAAAATTTGAGTATTTTGGTCTGTTTCTGTTGCAAACAACCATTTACTTGTTGGTTTGAGCTACTGGGGGAATAGGCCAAAGAAATCAAATTTAGATCTTGTATGATTTGATGTAAGAATTTCCTTCGTATGTGTCAGTTAAAATCTGCTGCTCTTCTCTTTTGGAGATAATTTCTTTTTCAGGCAATTCTCCAGAACTTTCTTTCATACTTTAAGAGTAATTTTGTTTTCAAACATTTTTGCAAGCTAGCTACCCATTTGATTCCTGGGGGGACTACTGAGTTTCTCTGTGTGTTTCATGTGTTCCCACTGCATTCAAGTGTAGGAAGGGAACAAATAGCAGTCGTTCTTTTTTTTTTTTTTTGCTTGCTGGCAAGTTGAAATAATTTTGAAATAGCCTAGGAAAAAGGCACATGCAAGAGATTCTTTATGGGAGAAAAAACGGTAAAATAAATTACCATGTTTTGACTTTGGGTTTGGTAAAATGGTGATACTCTCTTGTTTTCAAAGTGGCACTATCTTTCAATATTTTAACCAAAAGAATTAAAAAACAGTATTTTGGGATGTTGTTCCAGGAGCTGTTCAGTAAGGTTTTGTTACACATGCCAGTTCTTTGAGCAGCTTTCTTTTCCCCCTAGCGCAGATACTTCTTTTCCTTTTTGGCTCTCTTTAAGTCTTAGAGGAAACAGTTATAAACCCAAGAATCAAAGTGCCAGCTTGTCTTCCCTGTACTGCGCTGCCCCCTGACCTTTCTGCCAAAGCTTTTGAGTGTCTGTTTGCTTCCATTCAATGTAAGTGACTATTACAGTTCAAAAGTGCACAGTTCTTTAGAGCCTGAGAACAAACCCTTCGTAATGGGTTTCTTTCATAGTAAACAAGTTGGCTGCTTGTAAAACACAAGGGGATTTCTGTTTTTATTTGGCATTTCTATTGCATTAGTAGAACTATCCCTGCTTCTAAGTAAAAATTTGTACTAACTAATAATCTTTTTTTTCCTTCTTCCTGTGCCTTCAAATTTGCATTTCGTTGTGCTTTCATTTTCCACTGCGCACAGAATTTTTGTCTTCAACTCAGTCACATACACCCATCTCCACTACCCATCCATTCTGTATCATCCCATCTCACAAACCTGTCCCCCGTCCCCAAGATGGACATATTCTCAGATATTTCAGAGGAAGATCCCTTTGGGGAAACCCTCCTTACCACCCCAGACATCTCAAAGTGCAATTCCGTGAAAGAAACACCAGATGAAATAGCCTCACTGAATATCTTGGAACCTATGAGACCCCCAGCTAGTCGAGGCTGCCCTGCTGTGGAGGGAAAAATCCATACAAACGACTACAAAAGCACTGAGCTGTGTGTCTCATTCAGCTTTATCAGATGCTTTTCTTCTAGTTTCTGTTGGCTGCTTGATGAGGATGGTTCTATGACTTTTCCTAGCCTTCCTGATGTTTGCATCTCTTTCCTCCCACCTGGCCTTCAGCACTATATTCCGATTACCTCTCCTTCCTTTATCCCTTCTTTTCTCCTTATCTTCGTGCTGCTTCTGTCTGCTTTCCAGTCTATTCCTTTTTCGCTCACAGTTTCCCTTCCTCTCGCTCTGTCCCTCTGCTACCTGGAGCCTAAGGTGACTTCCTTTAGTGCCTCTAATGACAATGACCTGAATGACAAAGCAGAGGAAGAGGAGGTGTGTAATTTTGTTGCTTAAATGCTGACACTTGCATATAGCTTTTATGCTTGGTCTCCCAAAGGCTTGCTCAGTTTTGCACACTTCCTAGGGTAGGGATATGTCTATGTATGTGCCTGTATAGGTGTAAACACACACACACACATATATATGTATCTTTTAAACTTCTCTCATTTGTGAAAAATGGCCATTGCAGGATTTTTAGTCAATAGATAGCTGGTGAGTTTTCTGCCTGAATTCCTACAGCATGCATCATTTAATTAGATTCCACAAACACTGCGCTGCAGGTAGGGTTGTTTTTTAGTTCAAAAAGTTTCCAAGTACATAAACCTGAGTACTGAAAGTGCTGTGTGATAATAGATAGATTATTATTGATGCTATTTGTGAGTTTTGCTACATGCACTTTATGCTATATTTGTGCTATAACACTATATTTGTATTAAAATGCATCTGCTGTGTACATTGACTCCAAAGTTCTGTTTAGATCTGAAAAGTGACATTCCTTTGCATTTCAAATTTCAAAAGCTGAATTCAGAAAACCGTGAATGCTTTAAAAGCAGCGCTTTTTTGTGTGTATTTCCAGATTTTGGATGTTTCTTCTCTACAAGGGTGTGTGCAAAGTTGAGTCAGTCCAAGGCCTTTTTAAATTTTTTTTTATTTATAAGTGCTATGATTAATCTCTAGCAGCCGTGAAGGTGGAGAATGATTTCATTCATTAGCTGGGATTGCAGGTTGAGTCAGACTTTAATCACTAGAGTCTGAAAGTTCTTTGAAATAAACTGTTTAAATTGCCATGCAGAAACCTCAGTCACACATATACATTGCTCTGATCATCTGGAGTGGTTGACAAAATTTTCTTATATCTGCTGTGCAGCAATACCACTGGAAAAGTTGTTTTAGTTTGACCTTCAAAGGAAACACAAATCCAAATATTACAGAATCAAAAAGGGGGAGGGGGGGCTGTTCAGTGTTACATTTAACAAAATTTGTTAACATTATTAAATTAATACAATATATGTATTAAAAACATCCTAAATATGACATAATGTCATTAAGGACACCGCTCTCAATTTAAAATAATGAAAAGCGTGACTTCAAAGACTTTCTCAGTTTTTCTGTAACCTAATTCAATTCATCATTTGTAACATAAATTTGCAGAAAACAGAACCCCAGCTAAGTGAGAAATGGATAAAAGTATGTACCACGTTACATGTGCGTTCACACAGAATCCAAAATGCAACATATACATGCAGTAAATAAACCCCTCTTCAAGTTTACGTACAGTGACTTCTACATGCATTTTTTCCTAAGATTAGCAGCACATCTAGAAAGACTGAGAAGGGGGTTGCTTTTTAAAGAACACTGTTCCTTAAGGCATTCACAATACTTGTAGGTAAAATAAGGAAGATCAGCTATCGTTTACAACAGATTATATTGCAGTTTGAGGAAGAATATATTCACCTAAGAGGGCGTGAGGTGCAAATAACTCATCCCAAGACAGCAACATTCTTAAAATAATTAAGACAGCTTGTAAATAAAATATTTAGATGTTTCATTTGAGTCCTAGAGACATTACCAAAAGAACTCATGCGTTAGATTCCATTTTCCCGTCCAGTTGTTGCAGCGTTTAAGGCGCTTACCATTGAAATTATGCATATCATTTTTTTTCTTTACTCAAATTTCCATCTGGGAGAACACTGGAACGTACAACAAGAAAGGGACACAGTGTGAAGCTTCCATTTTTCATGCCACTTATGCCAAATATTTCTTCAGCCATTCTCCGACAATGTAGGTGAAGGAAGACCAAAGTCGCTTAGTAATTTCAGCATCTGGGGCCGAAACAGTAAAAAGGTCTGTAAATACAGCACACTTTGCAGCATTTACAAAGAGATGAAGCCGTATTAGTCTGTAAGTGTATGTTAACAATTCCTTTTCTTGATAATTTGCCATGTGCTCACATAGGTGGAATCTGAAGAGGAAGAAGCACGGCAGAAGGTGCATAGTTATTTTATTACATCTGGCTGTAGCTGCCTGCCTTGTTAGCATCCTAAACTGTCTGTGGATTTAGTTTGAATAGTGCCTTTTTACCTTACCATTTTATTTCCTTTATTCAACTGTCTGATTCTAAGGGTATTTTTAATTTCCTTGCTGGTACATTTTATGTTTGATTTTTATTTTTTTTTTATTTTTTGTGTGTGTGGCTTAATTTCACAGAGCAATTCCTTGAGAGTAGACGGGGAAAATATTTATGTCAGACATAGCAATTTAATGTTGGAGGTTTGTATATAACATAAAAAACACTTTCCCTTCTCACGGGCTGCCAGGCTGCATGGGATGGGAGGTCACTTGCAGGCTGTTATGGACACAGTGCATGAAGTGCATGGGGAAAAACCAGCTTGGAAATACTGCATGTTATCATTCTAGTTTCTGAGTTTAAGTTAAAACAAACAAACAAACAAAACACCAAAAAATTCAAACAAACAAAAAAACCCCTCAACTTGAATGCTGAATGTACATCTTTTATATTCTTGCTAGATATTTTCAAGGTGGCAACTGGGAATAATAGCCCTATTTAGATAAAGCAAACACATGAGTCCAATTCATAATCCTAAATGGATTTTTTTGCACATTGCTCCTCAATGTGTGTATCTTCTGTTCAGCAGAGTCTTTAGTTTTCAACATTTTAATCAACCTTTATCAAGTACACTGTGCAAATAAATGAAGTTAGTAAGGCACAAGCAGTGGCAGAAGTATGGAAAAAAATTCTGGTTCTGACACACACTGATTTTAGGAGCTTTGAGAAATGTACATGATTTTTAAAGGAAATGTTTAGACAGGCTTCTGAAATCTTTGCTTTATTTTTTTCACTTTTCAAATGGAAGTTATTCTTGCTTCCTAAAGGGTGGTTTTCATTGAGGATGAACAACAGCAAAGAGCTTTGAACAGTATGTTAATGTGTAGTCCTTTGTCACTGAACTAGAGATTCTTTTAAGAACTCCCATATAGTCTGTTAATCTGGATTATTTCATCAAAGACTGTCTGTAGTGGTGTCATTTAACTTGTGGTTAATAACATAAACTAGTAACTGAAGACATTCTAGAAAATCCTACTGCTGTCTTTGATTTATTTTATTCATCCAGATGGGGCTATAAATAATTCCCTTTGTCACAAAAATTATCCTTTAAAAATCATTAGTTTTGTTCAATAATGAGATGTATGGATTGCAGTAACCCAACTAATACATTTTTTGGCTTTTTGCAGCTTTTGATCACTATTGAAACTTTGCTCGTGTATAACTTACTAAAGCACTGAAAGTTTGCATAACTGTGCAAGTCCAAGAAACGTGCCTTGTGTCAAGCCAAGACAGATTTTAAAATAATGACATGATTGTTATGAGCTTCAGTTGTGCAATAGAATGCCTTTGGCATAAGGTTTTACTTCGTTCAGAAATTATGTGCTTTAGGAGGACACATTTAATGTCCCATTTGTTAGGCCTAGATGAGAAGTGAAGCATTGGTCCTGTCACAGTATGAACCTCCTGAGTTGCCAGAGGGGAGAGTTTCTTACTATTCAAAGCACATGTGTGAATATTCAAAGAATTAAGAGACAGATATACAGCACCAAACTGTTACTGGGGCTGAACATGCAAGTGAAAAGAAATTAGAAACTAATGAGTTTCACCACAGAATGCTGAAAAACTGTTATTGTGTTAGAGTATACACAACCAGCATAGGCTTTACTCAGGACTTGGCACACTCAAGGGAGGAAAGATTATGAAAGCAGAGTGAAACCTGCTCTTGTTACCAAAGCCCAGCATTGTATTTAAAGGATAATAAATTTCCAAGATCGCTAAGCAGGTAGATTTTTGTCTACTTACCAGAACAGTTACGGTTTTACGTAGCTCCTAATCCTTATGTCTGTCCTGTATCTGGAATATAGTCAAAGACCAGGTTGGAGTTACTTGATCCAAGGCACTGCATCTTAGCCTCAATGGGTCATCGCAAAGTCTAGTTCCATATTCACACTATGGTGTCCCTGCTGGCACTTCCCTATGTGTGTGCAGTTTAGAGAGAACATCTCTTTGGTATTGACATGCACAAAAGTCATCTCTACTTGAGTGCTGTGTCTGCTCTCAGGTTCTTAAATGTGGAATTGGCACATATCAAGCTTTAAGGCTTTAAATATGAATCTGCAATTAAATTTAATGATAGGTATAATAAGTATTCCCTCTGAAGTTAAGTACCTTTTAGTTGCTTGCATATTTGGCCCTGTAGTATTGTCTTCACAGAAGTAAGTATTTTTCATGGAGTTGGAAGTACCACGAATGATCCATTTTGATAATGTTTCTTGGGTCAGACTATTCTTCCTTACAGCTACCTTCAGTAATGTTAGTTGCGCAGTATCCCAGAGTCACAGTATCATAGAATGGCCTAGGCTGGAAGGGACCTTAGAGATCATCTAGTCCAACCTCCCTGTCATGGGCAGGGACGCCACCTCTCGACTAGACCACGCAACACATGGGAACCGAGTGGGAATCGAACCCGCGATATCGATTTTGTCTTTGTTGTCAGCACTGCACTCAAACCACTGAGCTAACTGGCCCCCTGGAATATTGGCTTCCATGCTTACAAATTTTAAATAAAGGCAGCAACTACTGGAAATTATTATTGCTTCAAAAGTGCTCGTGGTTTCGTGTTCTGGATGAAAATAAATAACCAGGCATGGCATTGTTTTTCCTTTGCCTTAAAATATGGAGGATACTCTTCTTTACAAAACTGTAAACTGCCTTAAACTTTTTTATTTTAAGGCGCTACGAAGAAGAATAGCTCTTCAGACACAAGGCACTTTCCTTGGTTTGGTTTCTTTTTTCTTTTTTTCTAGTTAAGTTTGCTTTTGTTGTCGTGTTTTGTCCTACTTTGTTTTACGTTGCGGGCTGCTAGGACCTGGATAAGACCCAGGACGACTTACTGAAACACCAGGCTAGCATTAGTGAGCTCAAGCGCAATTTCATGGAATCCACACCTGAACCACGCCCAAATGAGTGGGAAAAGCGGCGTATCACACCTCTGTCCCTACAGACACAAGGGGTATGTCACTGCAGACACTTGTCCGCATGCGTTCCCATACAACCCTGTATGTCATACAGTAAATGCAGTTTGTCCTTCAAATTAACACCTTGGCTAATGTAGTATTTGTTTATACTAAGTATACTTTAACTCTTTACCACTTACCATTGGACCTGACTTGAAATAATGTGTGGAATTTTATTCTTCTACAAAAACAACGAAATTAGAATCACTAGAAAAAAAATGGAGGTGATGACAGTATTTTCCTCTGTGTTACAGACAGCTTAAATTTCACTCTGATTTACATAGATTGACGGAAGTAACTTTTTGGTGATAGTAGAACTTTGCTCTCCTTTTCTTCTCTTTAACTCCTCATAAACAGCTCATGCATAAACAAACACAGCCTATGTGTTGTTTCAGAAGGACTTTATGTAATCAGTTAGTTTACACTGACTTCTTCAGGATATATTTAATGTAGTTGTTAAAATTTACTCACTTAATCTCCAGAAATCTTTAAAATAAATTTATTTACTTTTTCGCTATACCTTCTTCCTGACTGAACCTTAAAACCGAAGTTTGGAAAACGATTTTCTACAGATATCATCTTGGATGCTTGTGGCAAGAAAACTACCCACATAAATTCCTGTTGCTCTTGTGAAATTTAAGAGTTTTACAGGGAGTTATTTGCTACTTCTTTTATAGAGCAGAAGAGCAAATCAGTCTTTGAAAGCAATCAGTTTATCTTCTGTTGTTATCCTTTTCTTTCACCATTGTTCCTACCCTTACCTCCGAAATGTATTGTTGTCCTGTCTCATTAAATTCTTGAGTATTCTCTTCAGAGAGGTGAACTTTCAGTAGGACTTGCTTGATTTTTTGTTAATCAGGTATTACTTCAATAAGATATTTAAGCAATCTAAACTGTGAGTATGTGCCTACACATAATACAGTCACTGGCTGTATGGATCACTTCTTTAATGACTATTTTGTTAATTTTGCGGTCACTGCCAAGAAATTGTTCCTCAAATTTCTGAGTAGTACCTGCATATTGCTATGCATAGTGCTATGTGCATCAGGTACAACTGCATAGTTCAAATTTTCAAATGTCTACAACACATTGATTCATTTAATAGCTCTAAATATGTTTTTGGTTAAAATTGACATTTATGTAAAAGTGTAACTTAATTTTTGTGACATGGTTGTGTGGGGTTTTTTGTGTTGATTTCTTTGTATTGAAGCTGAGGCCCCTCCCAAGTTCTTTTATGTCTGTATTATTTTTGCTCAGCTAGTATACGGTTTGATGTTTATGTATAGTGTATGTCTGTCTCATTGCTTGTTGATTTACACTGGTTTTATAAAATGAAAACCAAATAGAAAAAAGGAGACCACATTTTCCAAGTGAAAACGCTGCCTGGGAAGGAGAAGCAGTGGACTGCAATGCCATGGATTGCTGGAGCAAAACCAGAGGAAACTGATAAGGTGGCTGCCCTGAAACCTACTGCCTTTTTTGCTGCAACTGCTGTGGGCTAGCTTGGGCACTTTCTTTTTCCTTTTTTTTTTCTTTTTTTCTTTCCCCCCCCGATAGGGGTAGCTTTTTTAAGCCATTACTGAAGGGAGAAGGTTGAGTTCTAACCCAGGATCTGTGTATATATATACACATACATGAATGCGAGCAACATTCTACTTACAACACCAAACTAGCTGGGAAGTTCTGAATGGCTATTTGAATAGAAAATCAATTTTCACTGGAAAATTGCTGTATTTTATGTGACTAGGATAACAGCAAACCATATATTTCTATTTTCTATGGAAGTAATTGTCTGCAGTTACTTGACACTTCACACAAGAACTTCTGCTTTATGTGTTCGCTGTGTAATCATTATTCAAATCAATAATGTTGCAGAAGCAGCTTCATTTCAAAGGCAGCCTGGTTCTGAGTGCCTCCATGCTTCAGTACCTCTCTCTTCATCCAGGAAAAGAGGGAGTTTTTCGACCCTGTAAGCTGGTTTAACATCTGTGCTGTATGATAGTGATGAGTAGCAATTGTGATGCTGCTTTTTTTTTTAGGCTGATGTAAGCTGTCAGTCCTATTATATCAATACAGGGTTTGGGAAACTGTATTTCCATCCTGAATTATTTGTTGAGGGATGTGGAGAAGTTGGCGTTCAAGTGTTTTTGTTGCCCCCAATTTATAGACTTGCTGGTATTATTACACTAATATGTTGTTCAGTCCTATTCCAGGACTGTACATTTCCCTGCCTTTTAGGATAGTTGGACAATAGACAAGAATAAAGAAAAAGGATACTACTGCTTCTTCTACTACTGCTTCTTCTTCTCTTTCTTCTTTTACTCCAGTGAAAATACTTGCATATAAGTTAATTTTCTGCATATGAGAAAGGTTACTCTGGGTTCATCTCGTTTGTGCCATTATACTTCTGTATCTCCGTACTCTCACAAATGCACAGCATCTGTGACTTAATTAGAACAGAAATTGTGACACATTGATACATATGTCACAAATAAATGTGAAATGTTGTTATGTTATAGATACCCACCATATTTTTATTTTTTTAATCCATTCTTCTCACCTCACTGCTTGTAAACAGTATTTCATGTTAGTGTATTTAACTGTATCACAAGGAATTTGCCAGGAATTTAAGCATCTTCACAGGCTTACATTATTGTAAGTACAATAATTTGATGGAATGCCAATTCTATTTATACATTTAATCACTTTTGCTAAATGCCTCCTCAGGGAAGAGGGGTTACATTATCAAACAAACTGTATGATTGGGGTTTTCCTTTTAAAAGATTAGAAGACTTAAAAGTTTCAAGTGGTAAAATGCAAAAAGATACGTCGTATCTGCCTGTCTTTAATTACATAAATACGTGGGGAAAGAGAGAGATGCACATGGTCTGACTACACACCACATAAAGGTATTTTTTTCCCTGCCTTATTTTTTTACTGCTTTGAGTGGTTAGAAGACATATGGTACCAGAGTGTGGTAGAAGGAGTATCCTGAACATTTTTGCCTTTGATGTCATCTATGAACACTTATTGGGCACGGTAAACAAAAGAAAGTGGGAGTGAGGAACACATTGCCCTGCTGGATATTGAATGTTGCACGAGGGCAGATTTAGTAACTTGGATTCACATTACATTTTCTTAGCCACCTTTGAAGTAT